CACCGTTGCATTTCAAAGATTGAAATGGTGGGTTTATTGTTATTTAATCACAATCATTAGATTTTTCATAGATGAAGGAGGAAGTATTTAAGTTTGGATTTAGTCTTATACTTGCGTTGTTGGTCAATTTTTATTATTAATCGAACATTGATAACGAAATTCGTTTGGAACACTTGTCATTAGCAAATTTTGCCATTTATCAGTAAATATTTAACTGAAAGAATTTTAAGATTTGGGTTTTTTGTTTTTAAAATATTAGTGTTTTTATTGTAAAATGATTAATATTGATTTGGAAGTTCATGACATTAAATAATGATTCACATTTTTGTCATTTAAATCTAAATATTTCCTTGATCGTCAATAAATCTGTGTTAAGCGGAACTAACCACTTTAACAAGGTTTTTAACCAAGATTTCGTAATATTATGCCAAAAAGAATACATTTCTTCATTAGAACTAATAACTTTAAAGATCCTCAATCTATCTGTATCTTGAATTATGATCATCATGGAGAAGCTTTTTCCCCAATGAGCGTGGCGCCTAGAAAAGCTCCAAAAAATGCGTGATGTAAAGCTCCCCATGTCTACCCATCTCCCTTGCTCCCATTGCATTTAGATTAGGCCTACGAACTATAGGTTTTTGTTAGTGCTTCTGAGACCATTTTTAGACTTCCTCGTTTTGTTGTTGGATTTGCAGTGGAGCTTTTTTGATTTCATGTTTTTTTTTTGGTTGGCTGCTATAGTATAGTATAGTCTGATATTTGTTGCGCGTGAATGTCATTTATGAAGAGGGAAAAGCTTCTACGCACTGCAAAAGTTTCGGTGTGTTAGTCTGAGTTTTTTTTTTTGGGGGCCTATCTTTGTGTGCGTATACGCACATTTTTAATTATGTTGTGCCAGCTCAAGGTTTTTTCTATCGCTGCTGCTGTTTTATTCGTTTTTTCGTAGTTTTTTTTTTGTTGCTGTGCAGGCTGCCCCTTACGCACTTTGAGCCAATTTAATTGTAGGCCACGCCATATATTTTTCGTTTTTTTTTTGTATTTGGATGCGACTTGTGAATTTTTTTGCTGAGTGCGGAATAGAGATAGTTAGCATTGCGGAAAAGAGATGGCAATGGCACTCCTACATGACAAGTGTACATAGGCCTATGCTTATATGCACATATATATGTGCTTACTTCTTTGTTTGCTCTGTTGTACATAGCACAAACTTCCATTTGTTAGTGCTTTTGTGTATAATTTTATTATTGTATTTTATTTATTTGTTGCGCCCTTCTGCATGTGTGTCTGTATTTATGTACGCGTTTGTTCTGTTTTTTTTGAATTATCAGCATTTCGTTCTGGCGTACTGTGATGTAATAGGTTCTAAATTGACAAATTTTTGTTGCTCGTCGTCTGCTTGCCTTCAAGATTTCGCAGAAGTTTGTAAATCTTTTCAGGGAATATGTATAAGATGGTGGAAAACCGAATTTTAACTTAAGATCTCAGAGATATTACAATTTTAAAGAAAAAGAACACGGTGTCACCAAGCAAAAAATGCACAGATATGAAAAATTGGAAACAATCTATCTTATATTTCATGGACCTAGCAATATTGCATTTTTCATCAACAAACCGCAAAAAAACTTAACAAAAAGAGAGAAAACAATGTGCAATATGGTTTTTTATAGGGCTATAGTGGAACCCTCTATGTTTTATACACATACACACACAGATCACACACTAGAAAAAATGGCAATGAAACTTTACACATTCCAACTGGTCAATGCAGATAAACCAAAGCTCCAAAAAAGAGGAGCTGTAAGAGAGGAAGAGTGGAGGAGAGTGCGAAAGAGAGGAAGAGATAGGGGGCGAAAGATGTCCGCCCATGAAATGCGTTTTCTATTTGTGCAAACTATTCATTCGGCCAAACTCACATAGATACTCGCACATACATACACAGATACCACCCACACAAAGACGTCGCTTGCATGCAAAAGTTTCGTTTTTTTTACTGCGTGTGTGAGTGTGTGCGTGAGTGGCGAAGTGGAGCAAAAGGCAACTGGCAATTAGCAACTGGGGAATGGCCAGAAAAAACCTCACAAAACTAGCGAAAAACGGTAGAAAAAACACGAATTGACTTTGCCAAACCCCAATAAACATTGCACATACAGTAGCGTTCAAAATAAGAGTTACAATGCCTAAGGAATTACTACCTTTTTACATGGTCTGTTAAATGGTCTATAAATTATCCAGATTTCAGATAAATAATGTTTTTTTAACATATGTTCAGAACTGAAAAAAAACCTGTTCAAAGAGATTTAATATTTTTAGTACAATAAACAAGTACTCAAGATATTTAAATGTAGATTTGATATAAGGAGTTAGTGATACTATTTAACAAATCAAAATATAATTTTTTGACCGCAACTGTAAGTTCCCAAAAAAAATGTGTTAGCCCTCCCACTATCTCGTTCGCTCTTTAGTTAGGCCTATGCTTTTCCTCTCTTTCTCTCTATGAATAGTGAACATTTAAGTGCCATGGAAACGCAGAAAAGAAAAAAATTGTCACTTTGACTGACACTGACAGGTTTCCAGACCGCCACGCCCCCTTTGCCGCCTTACTCAGTTTATAGCCATACCTTCTACCACATTTTTCGGCAGGGAAAAACTAAGCTCACTCTTTTTTGATAAGCCTAATTAGCAGTTCATAAAAGCGATTATTTCGTATGAATTTTTATGGTCAAGTCTCGTGTAAGTTTCATTTTTTTTGGCTTATTTTTTAAGACTTTTGCAGCCCTTGGCAAACGCAAGTGCGTGTCTTGGCCTTAATGGTTCATAAAATTATAAAAAAAAATTATACCTAACAAAGCTTTATGATGTTAGGATTTGAATAGATACAAGTAGGAGATTTTGACTTCTGCATGGCTGACTAAATTCGGAAATTACTCCTGTAAGGTCGAACTTCTGTAACTGCAACTTTCCTGTTTAAAAGTTTATATTAATCAATCTATGTACATAGTTTTCTTGGAAATAAAGAGTAGAAACACATTATTTAAAGTGTTAGGAAAACTACGTTGCGTCCTTTTTTTAAAGTGGTTTTTTTTACACAGTTTGGACATCTCAATCGGCACCCCTGAATAACCCGGCTATAACAACTTCAATAACAATCGGACAACTGACAATTTCTTGCAACGCTGTTGCTCTGTTTCGCCTTCTTGGTAATCGGTGGCATTAAAATTCAAGCAACTGCAGTGGCAAGTCATAAAACTTAAACAATTTGAAGAGGAGAACCGAAATGCGTTCGCCTTTGTAGGAGAATCCAAGGGGTTATTGCGGGGGGCTAAGAGCATATCATAGACACTTTGCGCAAGTGCCGACAAAAACAACAAAAACAGCAAATAAAAAAAGAAAATAATGAAGTCGGTTGCATTGCGTCAGTTACAACACCGCCAGAGAAAAAGAAGAAGAGGAGGGAGAAGCCGCGCAGTCTGCCCCAAAGACAATTTATTCTTAGAAAAAAACATAACGATTGTGCAAATGCACGTGAGAAGGCAGAGGAAAATGGAGAAGGGCGGGGGGAAACACTTCCGACAAGGGAAAATGCAGCAGACGAAAAACTAAAACAAAAGCTATGACAAAGACTACACAGATAAAAACGATTTTCATAATAGTTTTAGTATTACTCGAATATTTACTAAATTTTTTATAAATCCAAACAAATATCTTACAGATACTTTTCAAGACCAAGATTTTCAAAGAAAATAAATTATACAAATGCGTAATTTTTAATGTATTATTAAATCATTTAACCCTCAGACAAGATTTGCAATTACGTATTTATTTTTAAAAAGAAAAGTATCTTGTAGAACTTTGATAAAATATTGCGATATGTATCTTATAGATACAACTAGAGTCTTATAAGATGTGCAAGAAAATGTATCTTTACTAATAGAACATTTGTTCCCTATTATATTCAAACTTTTTTTCTTTTTTTAGATGCTATATTTAAAGAAAAATAGCTCAAAGATAATTCAGTCACCATTTTGGATAAAACCTCACCAATTTGATGGCATAAACCTCAAAAACTATTTACCGTGTATAAACTTGAAACAAAAAATAGAGAAAAAAACTGTTGTGCATTTAATTAAATGCGGAAGACCCCCAGCAACAAAAACCGAAACTACAATTTCAAGCGCACGCAATAGCGGGCCAACCCCATCGAGTGAGAGCAGGACGGGGCGAGTGGCAGATCGAGAGGGGGCGAGCGGTACAAAAAAGTACACAACGCACAAAATTTGGAACACGCTGCGTTTGCTAAAGTAGGTCAAAGTGGCAGCGGCGCCGGCAGCGCAGTCAAAAAATATTGCGTGTCAACTGCGACGCATTTTTTTCGGTTTTTTTTGTGCAGCGCCAAGAAGCAGAAATAATATATTTTTAATTTATGCACAACCCTAAAAAAGTATCTACACCCCTTTGGTAAATGTGTGAGTGTGTGTGTTTGGATCTACACATGTAGAAATGTCAAGCCAGCAACTTTTGCTTTTTTTCGTTATTAATATGCAACGCCAAGTTTTGAGTGTCATAAATCATACGCAAAGTGCGTAGACAATTTTTTCTCTTGACCAAAAAATGTTTTCCTTCTTTTTTTTGCATAAATTATAATTGTAATTAGAGGCAGAGTTTATTTTTTTTTGTTGAGCGGTTACCTGTAATTGTTTGCAAATGTTTGTGGACACTTTCTAAAACAACATTTTCCATTTTTACGCATTTTTTCGTGCGTGGGGAAACTTTGAGGAGCCATTAAGGAAGGCAGAAAGTTGTTTAAATCAGTAGTTGATAACATTATGCAAAACTAACAATTTAATTAAAAATTATTAACTTTTTAACAAGATTTGCTGAAGTATTAATGGTTTATTAAACACTTAATTTTTTGATTTATTGTAATGCAGTTATTTGTATTTTCTTTACCCATATAATATGTGTAGTAATTTATATTTACTGTAATTAAGTTTTAAACTCACCTTAATATCCAATTGCAAATTTTCGTATTAATCCAAATCCAGAATCCTCAATTGTAAAACTTTTCACAAATGTTAATTTTGAATTTATAAGTTTTTTTTAGTTTATCTAACTGCACTTCTTGCACTTCGTGGGCCAAACGTTTTTGTTCTTTTTATTTTTCAGTTTTGTTTCTAATTATTTAAGTATATATACTCGATTTGTTTATCAAAAATTGTTTACCAAATATTCTTCGATATAATTTGTAAGCATAGATATATGTATAGGTATATATATATTTTATAAATACATGTATTACGATTGGTAATTTTTTTGTTTAATATTTTTGCTTTGATTTTTATCGAAACGAAATTTTTATGCAAACTAACACACACGTTTTCTTTGCTGCTTTTACTGTAGGTTGCTTTTACTGTAGTGATCACTGTAGTATCTGCTGTTGTTGTTGTTGCTCAGTTGCTATGGCTGCTGCTGTTGTTGTTGTGTTGCTGTGTTTAGTATTGCGTATGTCCGAACCAATAATTTTGAAGAGTTTACCAATTTGGTGGCTTAAATTTTTGCGGTTTTTTGCGTTTGTTCTAAAAAGATTTCCCTTTGCTTTTTAAACTGATTTTGGGCTGGTTTTTTGCTGACGGTTTTGGTTTATACTTTTGTTGATTAAAAAATTTACATTGATTTTATTTAAATTTGCATCTTAATTGCAAAACATTTTCACGTGTGGACGTTTGAGATAATTTAAATTTGTTATGTTATTTTATGTTTTATGTTGCACGCAGCTTTGCCAAAAATCGTTTTTGTTGATTTATTTTTGTTGAATTTGATTATAGACCAAAAGTTATGTTGCCAATTTTAAAATTTTGCGTTGTTTTTCGAAAATGTTTTTGTTCAGTTCATTTTTGAAATTGAATTATTATAATTTCTCAAATTATTTTCAATTTGATTGATTTTGAATTAATTAGAGAGTTAAATGTTCAAAATGTGTTGCATTTTGTTGCATTTGACGGTCTTGTTGTCGTTGAATGTTTTTCTTGGCGTTGCTAAAATTGGAGTTGTGATTGGCTCGTTGAGGCATTTTCACAGTGACATTTGCCTGTAAGTATAAAAGCGGGTGGGAAATATTTATTAAAAAATTTAAGTAAAATTTGGAAGAGTGGAGAGTGGAAAAAATTATAAAAGGTTATTTTGCCTACATTTCTGTGATTTCTTTTTAAAGAAATATAATTTGTAATTCAAATGCATATAACATGTTAAGTTAGTTGCTATTTGAATAATGTAGCTATATTTTTATAAACTGAATATTATTTATAAAATATAGCTAGATTGTAGAACAAATATACAAATTTTTACATTAACATGCAAAGCATTTATTTCTCAATTATAAAAAAACCCATTTGTCACAATTTCCATGAATTCAATTGATTTAGTTTTAATTAAATCTTTGTTTCCGAAGTGTTCCCAGAACTTTTTGTTGCTGACATAATTTTGTTATCAGCAAACTTATCAAAGCATATATGTGCAAGTTATATAGCACATTACTTAGGGCCACTTACCCGATTTATAAACAACTTTGAGCCCAGCCCAATTTCCAAATAATTCAGATTTGACTCCAAGATAAACCCGTAGTCAGCTATTTCATTCAACTACGCCTTCGACTGGTTCCCACCCATATCATTTCACACTCCGCATTAAACGGATTCTGTAAACATCCTCAGCCGATATTCTAAACATCGGAGACCCAAAGCGACCCTCGAAGCTCGATAATGTAAACACCGATTTCCGGCAGAATCTCGATTTCAGATTTAATTGCCAAATTTCATCATCCTATTTTTCCGACTCTCTTGAGTCAATCTCTTAATCAATTTTTGAAGATAAAATCTCTTAAGCCGAGGTTTGATTATTAATCTTTCAGCCCAAGTGCGGCAGTCCGTTTTTGATATCCGAAAGAAAAAGACCCATATAAGTGAATTAAGTATAAGATCGGAGCAGTGAACTATTTTAAGTGCAACCTATGAAATGTTAGTGATAAGTGAAGTTAATTAAATAAAAATAAATTTTTTTAACCGAATCACTAAGGAGAAAGTTAATTGGCGCCCAACGTGGGGCCGCATAGTTAAAACATATTCTAAAGCAAGGCATAAAAATTAAAAAAAGTTCAAAAAAGTTTTTATGTGAAAAAGGAATTTAGTGCGGCCAAAAAAAACCCAGATACAACCCGCTGAAAATAAAAAAAAGTTGTGTTATAAAAAATAGGGCAGGAAATCAGTAAATGTAATAATCCTCCTTAAATCAAAACAACCAACGAAAACCAAAAAAAGTGAGTGTTGATCTAAATAAACCTTTAAAAGTAGAAATCAATAAATGCTATAATCTATTTTTTTAAAAAAAAAAAAAAATATAAAAATCTCCCTAATAAAAGTAGTGCTTGTCAAAAAAATTTTTTACTGCTCCGGACACATAAATTTATAAAATTAATAAAAATAAAATTACCAACCAAAAATTTACAAAAGTGAACAATAAAATAAAAAAGAACCAACATCAGCAAACAATTCAAAAAAGTGAACAATTAATTATACAAAAGGAAAATCTACAAAATAAAAAATTCAACTAATAAGTTGAATACAAAAATCTACAAAAAATCATCAAAAAGAAAAAACAAAAAAATACCAGGCTGTAGGGCAATCCCTCGCCAAATAAAAAAGGAAGACAAATTAATTTAGAAGGAAGACTAATAGAAGACCCCAACAAGGATCATCGGCTAGAAGAAGGACAAGTCGTGAGCGAGAATATTTTTTTTTTTTATATATTAATAAAGAAAAATTATAAGAAATATAAGAATACAAAAGTGGAAGAGTTAATTAAAGATTTTGAAAATATTTTAAAAATGAATCCAGAACAAGCTGGTCCAAGTAATAAAAGGCCTCACAACGTAATTACCCCTCAAGAGCCTACAAATGCAAATAACACAATGATAAATATAGGAGAATTAATTAAACACATTGTTAATTGTGAATTGAATCCATTAAAAGAAGAGATAGCAAGTTTAAAATTACAGCTTGCTAATAAAATAAAGGAAGTTGAAGATTATCAAGTAGAAATAGTTGATCCAAATATTAATTGCGAAACATCTTATGAGATCATCAAATCTGTTAGAGAGTATAGGGGTGAAGAAGACAAATATGTTAGCTGGAGGGAATCAGCTGAAATAGCTATGGGTCAATATACCAGAGGTAGCGAAAAATTTTATTCAGCATTATCAATATTAAGAAACAAAATAACAGGGATGGCCAATGACGCCTTAACCCATAACGGTACAGTTTTAAACTTCGACGCCATAATGGCCAGACTAGACTTTGTCTACAGTGACAAACGTCCTATCCATATTATTGAACAGGAGTTAAGTGTTCTCAGCCAGGGTAAATTATCCATAATGGACTATTATGGAACAGTCAATAGTAAATTGACTTTATTAATTAACAAAACAATTATGACTTACGGACGAAACAAACCGATTACTCAAGAAATGAATGAAAAACATAGAAAAACCGCCCTTCGAGTTTTTATATCTGGCCTTAACGGTCAAATTTCCGACACAATCTTTTCTATGAATCCCCAAGATTTACCTAATGCTATGGCTATAGTACAGGAACTTCAAAGTAATAGCATGAGAGCACATTTTGCAAATTCGTTTACAACTACACAGAAAAAAATTACCGAGCCCAACCAAGGTGGTAACGGTATAATATTTTTAAACAACAAACCAAGACAACTAAACAATTACAACAATAATCAAAGGAACAATAACAACTTTAGATTTAATCAGGAAAATAATAACTTTAATAAAAATTGGCAAAATCAAAACAATTTTAATCAGAACCGAAATAATAATTTCAATCAGGGAAGACCTTTTTATAATCAACAAAATCAATGGAATTCATACAGACAACCTCAGAATAAGCCAGAGCCTATGGAAATAGACGAATCCTTGCAGATTCAGAATAGGCCCAATAATAACTTTAATCAGGGAAATAATTATCAGAATAATAATTATAATAAATGGAATCAAAATAGGAAACCATACAATCAGCAGGAACAAGTACAAAATAAAAGAATGCCCGCAGGAACTGTTAATCAACCGGTTAACAAAACAATGAGGCTCAACAATATTGAGGAAGATCATTTTTTAGGCGAAGCTCAGGAGTAGGCTTACCCTACTTAATTCGTACAGATAAAACAATTAATAAAAAATTAAAAATATTAATTGACACGGGGGCAACTTCTTGTTATATAAAGACAGGAATATATAAAAATAAGAATGAACTTCCAATTTATAAAAGGGTGTCCACCGTGAATGGATATTCAATAATTAAATATTATCATATGATAACTATATTTAATATGCGATACACGTTTTATGAAATAGAGGGACTAGAATCAGATTTATTAATAGGATATAATCTATTAAAGAAAATTGGAGCTGTAATCGATACAGCTAAGGGAATACTAAAATATAATGGAAAAGAAGAAAAATTGAATTACGATAATGGGAACTTTTTAAATCAACATTCTTTATCTGAAGAAAATACCATTCTTCCGTTAAGAGAATTTATCATAAAAAAATATTTTGATAAAGAGACTCAAGTCAGATCCGATTCTGAAGTGGGCAATCAAAGTGAAAACAGTTTGGGATACAAAAATCCTGAACACGCCGTCGTAGAAGTATCCGACAAAGATTTAATTAACAATATAAAAATATCATCTTCCAATCAATTAAATGATTTGGAGAATGAGATTCAAAACATTATCAACAAAGAACACTCGAAAATAAATATGCAGATTCCATTTAGAACTGATATTCGAGGTGAAATAAATACAGAAAATGATAGACCCATATATAGTAAACAATATCCTTATGCTTTGTCAGCATCAGATTTTGTAAATTCGGAAATAAACCGAATGTTAAACGAAGAAATTATAAGACCAAGTAGGAGTCCTTATAATTCCCCTGTATTAGTAGTACCAAAAAAGGGCTTCAACGAAGATGGAACTGCAAAACTCCGTCTCGTAATTGACTTTAAAAAATTAAACGAAAATACAATACCTGACAGATACCCAATGCAGGATCCTTCAGTAATTTTGTCAAACCTAGGAAAGGCAAAATACTTTTCAACAATTGATTTAGAATCTGGATTTCATCAGATTCTAATGAAAGAAACAGACATTAAAAAAACCTCTTTTTCAATAAATAATGGTAAATACGAATTCCTTCGATTGCCATTCGGGTTAACTAACGCTCCCAGAATTTTCCAAAGAGCAATGGATGATATATTAAGAGATGAAGTTGGTAAAATTTGTCATGTCTATATGGATGACATTATTATTTTTTCAAATACTGTTGAACAACATTACAAAGATTTAATTGTCATAATTAAAATTTTGCTAAACGCAAACATGAAAATTTCTATTGAAAAATCAAAGTTCTTTAAATTAGAAACAAATTTTCTTGGTTACGTTGTATCTCACAATGTGATCAAAACCGATCCCGAAAAAATTTCTACCATTTTAAAATACCCAATTCCAAAAAATATCCGAGAGCTTAGAAGCTTCCTAGGCCTAACAGGATATTACAGAAAATTCGTGCAAAATTACGCCAAAATTGCAAAACCATTAACCAAATATTTGGAAGGCGAAACTGGCAAAGTATCTAAAAAAGCTTCACGTAGAACTTTCATACAGTTGGATGATTCAGCTGTAAGAGCTTTTAACGAGCTCAAAGATAATTTAATCGCACAAATAGAATTAGTACAACCGGATTATAATAAAAAATTTACTTTAACCACTGACGCATCTGATTTAGCAATTGGAGCTGTTCTCTCTCAAGAAGGAAAACCAATTACTTTTATTTCTAAAACTTTATCCAAAACTGAACAATTATATGCTACTAATAAAAAGGAACTTTTAGCCATAGTTTGGGCATTTAAAAATTTACGAAATTATTTATATGGAGTTAATAACATTGAGATCTATACAGATCATCAACCTTTATCATTTTCCATTTCTCAAAAAAACCCAAATATTGAAATGAAGAGATGGTATTCTTTTATTGAAAGTTATTCACCAAAAATTATTTATAAGCCAGGAGTAACAAATGTTGTCGCAGATGCCTTATCAAGAATCCAAATAAATAACTTGACAGAAAGTAATGAATCGGTCTCAGATCAAAACACTCAGCATTCAGCAGAGAGTAGTTTTGAGAATGTTATACAAGAAACCCGAAAGCCCTTAAACCAGGTTAAGCAACAACTGCTAATAGCAACGGGGAGGAATACAATACATGAGTCGATAAACTCATTTGGAAATACAAGGCATATAATAGAATATGATACTCCAGAAAATTTGGTATCAATTCTAAGGGAATATATTCCACCAAATATAAATATAGGAATTCATTGTACTTTAGAAGATTTATATAGAATACAAAAACCACTTAAAGATAATTTTATTAATACATTTTTATATACGAAAATATTTGTCCAAGATGTTGAAAATGCGGAAGACCAGGCTCTTATTATCACGGAAACTCATTGTAGAGCTCATAGAGGGCTTGATGAAAATTATAAGCAAATATGTAGATTATATTATTGGCCAAAATTATACAAGAAACTTAAAGAATATATTAAAAATTGTCAAATTTGTAATCAGAATAAATACGATAGACACCCAGTGCAAATTCCTATCGGAGAGGCTCCTATTCCAGAAAGAGAGGGTGAAAATTTACATATTGATATATATTATGCTCAAAATTTAATATTCATTACTTGTATAGATTCCTATTCAAAATATTTAATAGTTAAAGAAATCCAAAATAAATTAAATATAGAAAATAAAGTTTCGGAAATTTTACAACAATTTCCACTAGCCAAAACTATAATGTTAGATAACGAGCCAAGTTTTTCATCTTCCCAATTTAAATCTTTTGCACAAAGAAATGGGTTATCATTATATTTCGCCGACCCACGGCATAGTACCTCCAATGGACAAATTGAAAGGGCACACTCGACACTGACAGAAATTGCCCGTTGCATTAAAGACGAGCTTAATTTAGTCGATTATTCAGAAATTATTATTAGAGCAGCACAAAAATATAATTTAACCATACACTCAATTACTAATCAAAGACCATATGACATATTATTTAATAAAATTAAGCATGATACAACTCCCCAACTGCTTAAACAAGCTCAGGAAAAAATGTTAGATTTTCACAATAAAAATAAACGAGGGAAAAACTATCACGTAGGTGAGGTAATTTTTGAAAAAAAACACGGGGAAAGAAACAAACTTAATTCAAGATACAAAAAACAAGTAGTAAAGGAGAATCATCCTAATAAGGTTATTATTAATAATCGAAACCGTACGATTCATAAAGACAATATTAAATGCTAAATAAAAAATATTTAATTTCAAATTCCAGATAATGATATCATTAACTTTCTTATTATTGATGGTGGCTATATCCAAAGCCGAAATTATGGATTATACAAACCATGATTTCTTCCTTTACAAGGATACCAAAGATGCTCTTATTTATGAATCATACGCGGATTTATTTCATATTACTAATATAAGTTTTTATAAAGAAATAATTAATCTTGAATCTGAATTTATAAAAACTGACCAGAATTTACATTGGGAAATAGCACAGGATTTAAAAATAATTAAAATACTTATCGCACAAATTATACCCAATAGATCAAAGCGAGGAATTAATGAATTAGGCACTATTTGGAAATGGTTAGCTGGCACTCCAGATCATGATGATTTCATAGCTGTTCAGAATAAAATTGATGATTTAATACAAAATAACAACGATCAATTCGTTATTAACTCTAAATTATTTAAAGAAATAAAAACGTTATCTGATGATTTCAAATCTGCATTTAAAAATCAAGAAAATCCACTTAGAAAATATCGTTTACGTTTGCTTACTTACGATCTTACAAATTTAATGGATACAATTACACTTGCAAAAATTGATGTTTTTAACACCAAAATTTTAAACAATGAGGACCTACAAGAAATTTATAAACATGAACAAAAGCCTGTAATTATAACTGACCTATTGGATATATCTGAATTTAAAATTGCTTTGCACCAAGAACTTTTTATTATATACATAAAATACCCCATTATTACCGATCGTTGCGAAGTATACAATTCAAGATCAATTTCACATAAAGATGGAAAATTATTAATCGACAATCACGTCGCAAAATGTAAAAACAAGTATTATGTAATGTCTAATTTTAAGAAAGAATTGTTTAATAATTACTGCACAATAAATCCAGAAGGATCGTGTTTTACAAATTTATTAAATGGAGAAAAAACAAAATGTAAAAAAATCAGAGAAAAAAATAAAAATGTAGATGTAATCCAAGAAGGAGCCATTTTTGTAAACGGAAAAAATGTAATCAATAACACCCATTTAGAAGGGTCGTATTTAGTAACTTTTAATGGCACTTCTATAATTAATAATGTAACCTACACTAATGTAGAAAATAAGATATTGGAATACATCACTGCTCGTAAACATACCAATTTTTTAGTAACCGAATATATAATGTCAAATAATTCGGAACTTTCATTCGATAATATTAACATACTAAATCCTTTTATTCAAATCAAACAAACCCAAATACCAATTTCGTTAATATTGGTAATACTTACATTTATATATTTAATGATTATGCTTATAATTAAATACAGAAATTTTTTAATATTCAAACCACGGCAAACCCATGTAGAAATTAATGAAGAAAATATTATACCCGAAAATGAAAATACCAATATTCCCGACAATGAAAACACCCTAGAAGAAAATATCATTGTCGAACTGACTAATCAATTACAGTCAATATACCCTTCAATTCCAATGAATCGGGACGATTCAATTTAGGATGGGGGGAGTTATATAGCACATTACTTAGGGCCACTTACCCGATTTATAAACAACTTTGAGCCCAGCCCAATTTCCAAATAATTCAGATTTGACTCCAAGATAAACCCGTAGTCAGCTATTTCATTCAACTACGCCTTCGACTGGTTCCCACCCATATCATTTCACACTCCGCATTAAACGGATTCTGTAAACATCCTCAGCCGATATTCTAAACATCGGAGACCCAAAGCGACCCTCGAAGCTCGATAATGTAAACACCGATTTCCGGCAGAATCTCGATTTCAGATTTAATTGCCAAATTTCATCATCCTATTTTTCCGACTCTCTTGAGTCAATCTCTTAATCAATTTTTGAAGATAAAATCTCTTAAGCCGAGGTTTGATTATTAATCTTTCAGCCCAAGTGCGGCAGTCCGTTTTTGATATCCGAAAGAAAAAGACCCATATAAGTGAATTAAGTATAAGATCGGAGCAGTGAACTATTTTAAGTGCAACCTATGAAATGTTAGTGATAAGTGAAGTTAATTAAATAAAAATAAATTTTTTTAACCGAATCACTAAGGAGAAAGTTAATTTGCATATTCCATTGCCTCGTTTTCGGATTTGAATTCCCACTTGGCTTCTGGCAAATGTCTTTTATGCCCCAGGCTACCCAAAAACACTTTATTTGGCGTTGGAAATCGGATAATTTGGGGCAGGGGGAACATGTGTGCACAAATCCGTTGAGAAACATAACGCCCGATATCGGAGTTTGAGTTTTAATGATTCATATTTCGGGGTTTCCGGACACGAGTTTGAAAATATTTGGGATTTTAATTGGAAATTTAATTTCTTGATTTTTTATGTCATCTATAATATTGAATTTCTTTGGGGAGTTTGTTTACGGTCTTAAACAAACAAATATTTTGTTTACAAGAACAATTTTTTTTAGAAAAATTTTAACACTTTTAAGATTTATTCACAGTTTTTCAACACTGACATTATAGTTTTTCTACACTTTTTCCTTGCTTTTAAGCAAGTGTCCTGGGGATTAATTGCATTTCTCGTTCTTCCTTGCACTTCTTGCACTTTCCTCCATTCTCCTTTAATTGCTCTTTCTCCTTCACACACTCGCACACACACACACAAACACACTCAAACACCAAAACACAGTGCAAAAAGGGGTTCAGTTCACTGGGATTTCGCCTTGTTTATTTTCAGGGGGAGGCGGAAAACGGGGAGGGTTGTTTATTGTTCCATGTTCTCCTTGTTGTTTTTGTTGCTTTTGCTTATTTTTCTATTGTTGTTGCTTGATTAAAAATGCAGACGTTTCGATATGCATAAAAGTTTTTACTTCACTTTTTCCAGTTTGCTTTTGCCATTTGGCTTTTCATTTTTTTTTTTGCCTACTCAATCGTTCAAAATGTGAAACATCAAGTACGCACTCGCAATTGACTAATAGCAATTGTCCTTTAGTTATTTAACTCCGCTGTTTAACAAGCACTTTACTTTGCACATTTTCTAGTGTGATTATTTAGTTTTACTCAAAATTACCTTCCAATCACTGGTCGAAAAATGATTTTGCAACACTCACGACGCACATACACTTAACATTAACACTGGACAGTTATTTGATGCATTTGCTCGATGAAACACAAACAAAACGTAAATAATAATTAAAAAGTGTTCAATGCCGCAAACTTTTTCGCACTTTCCTGCTTTTTTTTGCACTTTAACCGCTGCAGTTTTCCGAGTGAGAAAATATATGAGAATTAATGTTTTTTTAAGCGGTCTCGTTCGATTTTTCGGATTTCAATTTCGAAATTAAAGGTTTTAGTTTGTAGTTTCCTGGGGCTGTAATTTCTGCTGCACGAGAGACGAGGCGAATATGCGAATGCGAAATGCACACAAAACGCTGCTGCTGCTGCTTCGAGCTGCGAGCACCACCGAAACCTAGGGCCGAATAGACGAGCGTTGTGTTCCAAAATTTCGTTTATGGCCTATCAGCCGGCGGGCAGCGGCGTCGGCCGCGGCAGAGGCAGCGACGACGGCAGAGGCGCAGCGGAGAGCCACCACCAATACCAAAAGCAAAGCCAAGCAAAGCAACAGTCGGCGGCCAAAAGAGAGCGAGCGCAAAAACGCAGCAAGGCAAACACTCTCTGCAAAGTGGGATTAAACCACCTTAAATTTAAATATCAACAACACTAGTAACAATAAATAATCAGACTATTAAGACGTTTTTTTCACGTATTGAACAGAGTATGTAGATCGTGTTTAACAATAAAGTGTATAATTTTTATACAACCATTACCCACAAAACAGTCTAATTGTTACTAAATATATATATATATATTCAATTATTAATTAATTCATTGTTTTTTAGAACTATTTTCCATAATTTCCTGTAAGTCATGTATCAAAGCAAATAAATGTATTTTCCTAAGGGTCATTTATCCATTAGTGTTTTTTAATTTAATGTTTTTTGTACTTTCTATGTATTACTAGCCCCACTGTGCATTGAGTGGAGCTGTGTCGCAGTCGCAGTCGCAGTCGATCCAAACAAGTTTCGGCTGCGTGCTTTGCTTTTGCTTTTGCGGAGGAAGAAAAGCGAGCAGAGAATTTTGTTGTTTTTTTTTCGCTGCCGCAGAGAGTGCGCCCATTTTGCATTGGTTCCAATTGGATCCCTCGCCCCCGCCGCATAAAAGTGCGTTGGTGTGGGTGAGCATGCAAGAGTGTGTGTGTGCTTTTGTTTTTGATTTGCCATTGCAAATGCAAAAGTTTAGCACTGGTGTGTGGCGCTCTCTCGCTCTCCGAGAGGAAGTGGTTGCGGTTGCTCTATTAATCCAATTGGAATGCAGGCGAGCAACTTGCAATTGAGAAATAGGAGGATTCTAATAAGGATACATTAAAAAGGACGAAAGGATAACTTTGATTTATATTTTTCGAACCATATCTATGGTTAATATTTACTTGGGCTTATGGAAATAATCCCCGTTGCAATCGCTTTTTTGCATGCCTTTTTCTGTGTGTATGCACTGCCGCCCCAGGATAAAAATTACATATATCCTTATAATCCGGGGGTGAGTTTCCGCTCTCTCCTTCTCTCTCTCTCTCTCTTTTGCAGGCGCAATTGCATAAGGATAAGGCATAGGACATGAGGTAATTTAGGAGAACTCCGCTCAAGTGGAAAATGTTTAGGGAAATCTTGCCCAGAAATAGCAAAAGCAAACCTAAACTTGGTCTTAACCTATTTACGCTGCGGGGTATTTCCATCCAGGTGGTCTTGAAATACTAGATGCAATATAATAGGAAAACCACTTCAAGAAGGGAGTACAAAAAGAAGGGCTTATGAATGCCAAAACCAATTTAATTGCATGTCCTGATGGTTTTTTTTATGGGTTTTCTTAATGATGCACTAACGGATAAAATTCCCCTTATAAGGGTTCTTGAACTTTTATTTAACAATAACATATAAATTGTAGTTCTATATTTATTTTGAAAAATTCTTTAAAGTGAATACAATTAGTTTCAAATAAAATTACCCTAACAATGCACTTTTAATTTTCTCAAAGAAGAACAATATCTCCGCAATTTCATATCAAAATACTTGATATGCAAATATATCCCCTGAGATCTTCGAGATCAAACCATTGAAATCCGAACAAAAACCCTCAAAATGTGGACATTTTTAGCCCAAAACTTCCCTTATTCCCACAAGTGTCACTATCCCTTTTTCTAATGCAGTTCCCATTCAAAAATATCAAATTCCTGCACAATCGAAACAATTACAATTTAATTTCAATCAAAAAGAGTTGAAAAACTATTCCTTTATTTCGATTAATTAAAAGTGGGTTCTCAACTGGCGACAAAGGCAGAACAAAATTGTTCAAAAGCAAGGAAAGTTATAGTAACAACACTCAGAAAAAGAGCTAAAAGAATATCAAAGGAATAGATCAATATTTTAATGTTGGAATAAATATCAAAGTATATTTGTTTTTATTAAAACGTGAACTATGACTCAAACATATTATTACGTGTGTGAAGTGAGAACTTTAAAATTATAAAATGAATTTTTAATTCATATATTTATTTCAGTGCAGTAATGCGAAAAACAATAACAATGCGCATTCGTTTTGCAGTGAGATAAAACGAGAGAGAGAGACAAAAAAAGCGAAGCTTTTATGGCGGCAGAATTTCCCCCCTTTACCAAATGCCCCAACAAAATCTCAAAGAATGGAGAGCGCATGTCGCACTCTCATTCACTCTCTTTAAGAGAGCGGAGCTGCTGCTGCCATTTTATGCACACACAATGACAATGAAAGCCTGTGCGGCGCAAAGGGATCGGGGCGGGGTGGTGAGGGGGCAACCAAAAATTTACGCAATTCAAGAAACACGTGGAGTGCCGACTGCGCTGCCAACGTCGCTGCTGTTATGCTGCTGCCCAAAAAATCCAATAAGCAAGAGCTTTTTGCCTCTTCCGCACACCAATGCAACGCTTATGTGCATACAAGCGTTTCGGCGGGTGTGTGTGAGAGTGCGTGTATTGCGTATTTTTGGCATTCAGCATTCAATGGCCGCTCTGTCGACGCCGACTGCGCCGCCGGCAGCAACGCATGTCGCAGGGACGGAATTTTAACTGCAGGGCAATTAATAATGAAATTGATTGAAATCCATTTAATTAATTACCAACATGAAGTTTTTGTGATAAACTTGAAGGTTCCCAGTTTGATTTAGAAGATTTTTCGAAACATGAAACTTAGAATTTAGATTTTTAAAAGGTAATCCTTTCTTCATTTAATAAAAATGGATTTAAAAACCAAGATCTTTCGTCGAGCACTGCTATATGAAGATTTTATCCAAAACTTAAAAAGTTAATAAGCATTCATTTTTAAAAGAAATAAATTTGAAAATGAATATTTGCTCAACTTTGAAACTAAAATGCAATACACTTAAAAGTTAGAAACTAGGCCCTCAAGAACTTAACAAGTTTTCCCCTTAATATTATTTCTGAAAGAAAAGTTTTTATATGGTCTCTATTGCAAAGTGTTAGAAAGATATTCCGTTATTTTAAGATGTTCTAATGCTTAGCCCAAAACCCTTTGGTTAACAGAAGATTCACTGCATTCTTTTGGTTGGGCGCCCCCCGAAACCTACACCCACCCCCCAAATCCACCCCTGGGCATCCGCCCTGTTTCTTTGTTGTTGCTTCTCATCTTGGCTCTCATTTTGCTTTTGCTTTTGCAGTACTGCACGCACTTTTCGGGCCTATCTCTCCCCATCCCTTCGTCACTCAACTTTTTGCTTAGCTACGCAACTTTTGGTTTAACACACAGAAAAAAACTGAAACAACCAGGCGGATGAGTAATATTTTTGGAATATTTTTTTTTTCAAATTTAATATATAGAACTAGTTTTTATTTAACATTATAAACTTATTAAAAATTTAAAGAAATGTAAATATTTAATAATAGGTGCGTTTGCTTTGTTTTCTGTGCATTGTGGGTGGTTGGGTGGTGTGGAAGGGAGAGCGGTTGGTTAATGGGGCAGAGGGAGGGGGTGGTTGTGCGTTATATGCTCCACTTTTTGGTCTGCCGAACCACACCACAACCCAAAATTCTGTTTTTGAACGCACTTTTGCAGCTTGCGTTTGTATGCTCTTCTATATACACACACAGATACTGTATTTGTGTGGGGCGCGTGCGTTGCTGTTGTGTGTGTGTGTGTGTTTGCATTGGTGTGCGCGCATTTTTGGGTGTGCGTTTTTTGGTATTTCGTGAAATTTTAGCATTTATTTGTTATGTACCCAAACTGACGTCGCTGCAAAGTTGCTTTTGCTTTTGCCGCTGCTGCGCTGCTTTTGCTGCCTTTTCACCCTCTCTCTTTCCCTCTTTCTCCATCGCCCGTTTGTGTGCGTGAGTGCGTAGGCTCGCCTATGTACACTATTTGGCAATTACATTCGCTTATATACCTATACACTTGCACGTCTATATTTATTTGTTTGTTTGTGTATTTTGTACATAAATATGTTTGCTTGTTTGTGCTTTTCGCTTTTGCTTTGGGGCCGCCAAAAAAAACAACAAAAAACACACTGTTTTATGTGTGTATACTGCATTTTTATGCCCATGCTGAGGGTATTACTTTTTGGGGTTATGCGATATTACTGCACAGGGTAGAAAATCCTTTATAAAGTAGGCAATAGTTCTTTTAAATCAAACTCTTGGAGTAATAACATAGAAACTATGAAGTTTTTAACGAATCAAGTTTTTAAGTATTAATTGATTTGAAACAGCAAAATAAAATCTTTAAAATATTTAAAATCAGTAAGACAAGAATTATTTTGTTGATAAAGCAAATAAGGCATAGGTTAAGAATTAAAGATAGTCAAAGTATCTGACATTTATTTAACAGTTCTTTACAATTCAGATATCTTTCGTTTAAATCAATGCAGAAATTTGTCTGCCAGATAATTATGTTATTGAAAATTGGGACCTTTGGGTTTTCCAAAACATTGCACAAAAATAAATGTTATGCTTGACATTTGGCTTGGCATTTGTGTTTGTAATGCCTGTCAAACAAACAAATGCTCACACATTGGGCTTGCTTTTCATGGACATCCCACCCACTTGAAAACCCCACCCCGTTTTACACCCTCCTCCCACCTCTTACACCCCCTCTTCCCCCCTTCACCATATCAATGTTGTTGCGTTTTCAGATAAGATGATATCATTTGTTTTTGTACATTGCCAACACATTGAATTCACTTGTGTGAGTGTGTGTGTTCTTGTATGTGCTAGTGTGTTTATACCCTTGCAGAGGGTATTATAATTTTGGTCAAAAGTGTGCAACGCAGTGAAGGAGACATCTCCGACCCTATAAAGTATATATATTCTTGATCAGGATCACCTCCTGAGTTGATATAGCCATGTCCGTCTGTCCGTCTGTCTGTCCGTCTGTCTGTCCGT